GGGAGATTTTCGAATGATATTTTCAGGATTCAATCTGTGGGTATAATATTGCTTTATGACCTTTTATGAACCATAAGCAGAAATTGTTGAAATAACTATGGGTGGACAGGTGCCAAATGGTAACGCTGGGGTGGAAAGCAGTGGAAAGAAGGGATTTTTACTGCTCCATTTGCTCACAAAAAAACTCCACCCAACAATTTTTGCAAAGCAAGACAATAATACATTCAATCCTCTGATGCTCTCTAAAATCTTGAGCCTCTAAGTTAGGGCAAATAAAAGATATTGATTGAAGTCATTAAAATAAACACTGATACAAGTACCCAGGGAAAACTGGCAGTGGTACTGCTGAGAAGTTCCCTAATTGTTCCATTTCCCTAAGACTCAGAGCTTGTGCTGGCATTCTGAATCCTCTTACAAAAGAAGTTGTCTGTGTTCTGTTAATACACAGTTGCCCGAGGGTATAGAGGAAGAAGACATCTGTAAGAAAGTCCTGGCAAAGGCAGGCTATGTCAGCATAAATCTCACAGGGAATGTGGACTGTTTTAGGCCCTACTTTCCTACTTGTTGAATCATCGCCTTATAAACAGCAACTGGGAAATGTTGAAGAATAAAGAACAACAGTAACAAAAAGACTTTAGAAGTGCACCAGCTTAATCCTAAACTGTTCTCACTTTGAAGACATAGATAGGACAAGAGTGGAATGATGAACTATAATGTTACAACCAGAGGTGTCTACTTGCAGATGTGTATTTGCATGAGTTGATATGCATGGGAAGAGGACAGAGGAGAGCCTGGGTGATGGAGAAAGAAAGAGGAAATAGAGAAGATAAACAGAACCCTATTTGATCCCTCGGCTTGTCCCAGGTACTAATTTCTGCACGTTTGAGAGAAGGGTTTTCTGTGGTCACTTAAGAAATATTTTCGTTAAGAGACACCTGTAAAACAAGTGGATGTAGACTGTGGTGTTTTGGGCCCAGGGGTGACACAGAGTGAAAGCAATGGAGCCACACACATTTCACGTGGTCATCAGTCTCATCACGCTTGGCACTGATATAGCACTGAACCACACACCCAAACGGCTTTGGGCCCAGTCAACCACACAGCAGACAGCCAAAGGACATGGAAAGAACTGATTGTGAGCATACAGAAGACAACCCTGCAGATTCTGCAAGAGACTTTGGTGAGGCCAGAAAATTTTTGTTGCACAGGTGGCAGAATGAGCCAGTAAGACTTAGGATTTGTCATTAATATAACTCTATTTGTATCTACAGATTGGTGAAGATGAAAAATAAGAAAGATAAATCACTTTAAGTCCTTCAACTTAATATAAAGCCATGAAAGTCTGTATATTAAAGATCTTTAGTTGCAGGCAACAGAATCCACTCTTGCTGGTTTAAAATTAAAAAGAATGGATAAAGGATGTTAACGGGCATGCAGAATGGAAGGGTCAGAGAATCATAATCTGAGGCTACTTGGAAAGAAGTTATATCCAAATGATACCGCCCAATGGTGCATTAGATCTGCTGCAGGCACCTCGGCTGCACCCATAGCCCCCCTGGGGGTGCTAACAGGAGAGCTGCTACCATTTCTGCCTTGGTCCCTCTGATAAGCTCCACAGCCCTCACCAGAAAACCAATTCTGCATGACACCTACTTTCTCATGGTTTTCTCTTCTGCATAGCAGTCTTACTTGGCTGCATCTGATTGTAGAAACTGGATCACATGCTTGCACTTCTTGTTGCAAAGAAGACTAGAATAGTTTTACTCTGAGAAGGCAGATCTCATCAGATATAAGTTTCTTGATATGGGAAGGGCTTTCAAGAGTTGATGTGTGGCGACAAACACAACCAATGTCTACTGCAATAGTTATGAGATAATTAGGTAACCAACTCATTGTAAAGCAGCAGGAGGCTAGTATTTTTTTTTTTTTTAGATTTATTTATTTTTGCATACAAGAGCTGGGGTACAGGCCAGAGATGTGGGGGTGAGAGGATTCACCAGAGACAGAGTGGGGAACAGAACAAGCAGACTGACTGAAACACACTGCTGAGGGGAGCAGCGGGCGAGTCAGGATAGGTCTGCTGTGCCATGTGGTTTGCTCCCTGGCCAGCCAGGGATTGAACTTGTGCTACAGAGGCTGCAGATTGCTTCACAGTGTGGTCCTTAACCCCTTGCACCACCAGGGAGGCCCAGCAGAAGGCTAGTACTTAACTGCTTCTGCTGGTCAAGAGGAATTGCCATGATAGTGACAAAAAGAAAAACCACAAAAAAACAGCTATAGACGGACTCTTCTGTTAAAAAAGAAAATCTTTCGGGTTGTTTTTGGTCGATGCATTTTTTTCTTCCTACCAAGTGCAAGAAGAGATACAAAATCTACAATATCACCTCAGCTTTGGAGAGTATTCCAAGAAACTTTACAGTAGTTATCAGCACACTGGTGGAAAGTCACACCTCCACCTTGTCACAGATTTGAGAAATAATGAAGGAATATTAGTGAAAGCAGTCTAAATGTAACTGTGTGATACAAAGCCAAATGTCTCCATACAAGACTTGCAGACAGAGAGACAGAGAACTCTCCATCTGTGGGTCACATCAATTGGGAGTACAATGGAGCAGCACAGAAATGGATCAGCATGGAATCAGAATATAAGAAAAAATTCAGAACTTGAATCAGGACAGCAGATTTCCCCTAGTCAAAATCATCCAAGGCAGAAATGCCTAATAGATTTTATCCTACATACCAGATTTGTGGATTGGTTGTAGCTGCCTCAATTACCTTGTTGAGGACTATCAAGAAAAATGTCTTTATGTGAACCTGTTTTCACATGGTTGATACTTACAACTTTGTATTGTGCTTTTTTCCCCTCATATGTTGAATGAGATATATCTTTCCACAGTCTAATTCTGGTAGTTATCCTTTTTAAATATCTGTGTAGTATTGCATCAGCCGATGAACCCTAATTTACTCAATCATTTCTCCATTGTTTTATATGTTGATTAGTTCTGAAAATTTTGAAAAGGTAAGTGAAATCTTTCAAAAGACTCTTTCCATTATTCTATAGAGATTAGTATAGCAATAGTCTCTGAACTTTACATGAATATGGTCACCTCCTATCCGTGGTCAACATTGGGGCTATGGAGATTCTACAAGTACAACTAAAGAGAAAGAGGTTTTAAGAGTCAGCAAGCTCACCCTTGGAAAATTTAAATGGAAAAACTCCAAGACGATCTGACATATACTTACCCCAATAAGATCTCTATATCTGGGGCCTCCCTGGTGGTGCAAGGGGTTAAGATGCAGCACTATGAAGCTATCCTCAGCCACTGCCACTGCAGCACGAGTTTGATTCCTGGCAGGGAGGTGACCCACATGGCACAGCAGACCTCTCCTGTCTTGTCCACTGCTCCCCTCAGCAGTGTATTTTAGTGGATCTGCCTGTTCTGTTTCCCACTATGTCTCTGGTGAATTCTCTCACCCCCCACACATCTGGCCTGTACCCCAGTTCTTACAGGCATAAATAAATATATCTTTTCTAAAAAAAAAAGTCTCTATATCTGAAAAGAGTATTTCTAGGATACCTTTGGGGAAGGCCCAAAGTGAGACTAGCTCCCATCTGAAATTCTGGAAACTATTCACCTGTGAAACTTGGTCTGCAGAATCCTCAGATGTATTCACTATGAATTGTGCAGTGTTTTAGAGAGAATTTAGATGCAAAGAATACAATTCCATTTAGCTCAAATAAAAAGAGGGTTGATTGAAAGGTAGAGTTTATGGGATTACAATAAGCCAGTGCAGGACTTCTAGCTCAGTGCTGTAGAAGCAAGGAGATTACACAGGTCCTTCCCCACTCTACCCCTCCCCAGCTCCAGCTCCCCACCTCTGCCTTTTGAAATATATAGTCTCCCCATTGATCTCTATATATCTGCTCCTCTACTTGCACATCAGCTTTTTCTGCTGACTCACAGTTTCTTAGCTTTCCCCCTCATTCTGGCCAGCATGAGGCTCTGGCCTACTGTGGCGGGCCAGCTGGGCATGACCTTGCAGCTTAGTTCTGCACAGCTAGTGACTCAGCCTCTTTGGCCCAATTCCAAATTCCTGGGAGAGTATCCGATCAGCCCAGCTTAGGTCAGATGTCTATCCCTAGTCAGTGACTGTGACTGGCAGGGCAGAGTCACATGGCATGTAGTACTGTCCCTCCCAGGGTTATGAGTGGGTCAGAGTCTCCAAGGTGGAATGTGGGTAGGGAGAAGGGAATGTTTGGCATCTGTGAGACAGACATGGGTCTGTGAGTGGCCTGCCTAGTTGTAATAAAAAGAGCAGTGGATTTGGAGTTTAAAAAAAAGTCGCTGCCACTTTTTAGTGTCAGTCTAGACAACAGTCCTAATCTCATGGAGACTTATTTCTTCTATGTAACCAGAGGGAACTGAATAAGATGACCTTCTAGCTCCTGTAGTCCATGATTATTATTTTCATCTTCAGAATCTCATAATGTAAGGAATGACCAACTCTAATATCAATGATTTGGCAGGTTTTATAGGAACAATCATTCAAAAATCTGTCTTTGCAATAAGTCCAGTGGTGTATTATCCCCAACATTACCATTACTGTAAACATTTTTTGAAGGCTATTATATGCGCTAGCAATGCTGAAGTCCCCAGGTAGGCATTCAGCAAATGTTTCTTGCTTAGAGTTGGAATTCTAAAAGCAGAGGAGAAACAGACCTTGTTCTAAAAGAGTTTGCCTGTCAAGGATAGAGGCTTGAAAAAGTAATAGGGTGAACTGAATCAATTCTAATGCTGTTTGTAAACAAAGTTCTCAAATGCATTATTGGTGAACTGCCTAAGGCAAATAAGGACAAAAGACTGTAATTGAAATTGCTTTAAAACTATGTCAAATTAAGCTAGCTATCTCTCAATATGTGAAATTGAGGTCTTCCTTTAAACAAGATATTTTTCTTCTGATTATAAGAGAAATTCATGCTTTTTAAAAAGTTCACTAATATACTTACCTGTCAGGGGAGATAAAATGATCACCAAGGTGGTTTTCCTAGGGGGAGGCTTCCTCATTGTGCTCTGGATGTGTTGATTCCTCCAATATCCCTAAATAAGGGAAACTCAACTGTATAAGTTGTGATAATAGGGGACTGCAATTGCACTTTCCAAAAAAGTTCAATAATACAAAAGTGAGTAAGTCATGAAGTGAAAACTCTCCATAATTCTATTCCCAGAGATGGCCATATTGTTATTTTTCAATTATCCTTCCAGATATAATATGTATGTACATATAACATCTTTCCAGGTGTATATATACATAATACCTTTCTAGACATAGCCTTATATATTATATATACACACACATAAGCATAAACATATAGATGTATATTTGTACATAGTCCAAATCAAATATATTATTACATACTGTGTGTTAACAAAAATGGAATCATATATCTATCCTTTTCTGTGGATTTCTTCTTCTTTTTTTAACTTTACACTTTGTCATATACTTCTTACATATGAATCTTTCTCATCCTTCTCAGTATTCCTTTGTACCATAATCTCTACCCTCAAATGAAGGGCATTAATGATGTCCTAATGTTTTCTGTAATATTAAAGATACTACAATAAAGATCTATGTACATATATGCCTATGCATGTTCTAATTACTTCTTTAGGATAAATTCCTGCAACTAAAATTACTTAATTAAAATTTATACACATTTAAAATATTACACCATAGCTCAATAGTACACCAAATCATCTTATATTCTTAGCAAATTTCCAGCAATTACCTTTATTTTTCAATACTGCCAATCTGATGGTCCAAAAAGAAAAAATTAGCAGCTCTCATAGTTATGTTCATTTGCATTTCTTTGAATAGTAGTGAAGATAAGTATCATTTCAGGTGTTCATGAGTCATTTGGTTTTCTCTTTCTATGATTCATTTGAACCTGTGTCTCTATACCATTTGCTCTGTTTCCTCCATTTTCCACCCCATTTTTGTACATTGCAGGTTTGTGTATATGACAGGAGCCAGGCCAGTAAATTCCCTCTGCTGGGAATCTGGATTTGAACAGGGAGCTCTGGTCTGCCATATTTAAACCAGAAAATAATGCAAAACTGGGCTGGGTCAGCTATTTTTGGTAATGTGAATCATAAAAGAAAAAAAAGTAGATCCAGCAAGAGAAAAGAAAGAAGTAGGCACGCCTTGGAAACAGAGATGAGAACTGATGGCACTGAGTACTGCTTCCTGTCCTACCAGCCTGTGAGAAAGCTCTTGTCTCCGTAAGTTAGTTTGAATGACTTTCTGTTAATATAAGTAGTAACATAAATTTTGTACTGTGGGAATATTGGGGGGGAAGATAGTTTTGGAAAAATATTTTGATCTTGATTTTCGTAAGAAATCTTGTGATTACTGAGCATGAAGGGAAGTTGAGACCATAATTGCACCATGGGTCAAATGTGTCTTCACTGAAGAGGTCCATAGATTTGTTCTTCTAGGACTCCCCTTGCAACCTGACACCCAGACCCCTGCTGCTACTCAGCTTCCTGGGAACCCTCAGTAGTGTACACCTTACCATGGTAATGCTTCCATTTATTGAACACCTACTACGTACTTTCTAAGTGCTTTGCATATGCTATGTTATTTATTTAACCAGTGAAGTAGGTAATTTTACAAAAGAGGAAGCTATGGGTTGGGGAAGTTTAGTAAGTTGCTCAAGAACATTCAGCAAGAAAGTGGTAAAGTAGGATTCCAGTTTCTACTGTTTGACTCTGTTATAGCTTCTGCTCCCTGGGCTGCTATAGCTCGGTGTCTAGAGTCTAGAACTAAGGGAGCATTTGTCTCTAGGACAGAACTGTGGTGTCCAAGATCACGGCTGCAGGTCCCCACTGACTGCCACCTTCAGATGTCCATCTTTTTCAGAACAAGAGGCACACTCGTATCTCAGGTTCTGGCAGTCTGTTTGGCCACAGGATGTAAAGCCTTGTTGCTCATTTCCAATGCACTGGGATCAACTGCTGAACAAGTAAGTTCTGAGGGCTGCCTGATAGGCTGGGGCCACCAATGGTGCCCTTACCTCTCTACCCTATACCAACCCTTCTGACATGCTCCTGAGCCCACCCCAGATCTACCTCCTCTGTACTGATAGCCAGTCCAACACTTACAAAGAGTTTATCCTTCACAGCATTTTTTAATATATCAGCTCATTTGTTCCTCACAGCAGCCCCTAAGAGTTAGATCCTACTAACATTCCCATTTCACAGACAAGGAAATAGAGGTACTGACAGGTTAAGTGACATACTCAAGGTCACACAGCCAGCAGGATTCCAACCAAGGTGTCAGAGACTCGCTTAAGTGGTTAATGAAAACTAAGACTCTCTCCTTAGAAAAATGCAGATTTATGACTCTGTACAGTTTCAAGTTTTCCTCTCCAGGAGTCCTCCTACTTACTGTAGGTCAATCACTTTGTGTAGCAGGGATCAGAAAACCCAGATGTCCTCAGGGGCAAGATGAGTGAAGAGTCTAAATGAGGAAAGGATCGTGGGCCTGGATATTGCATAAACTCCTTCCATAAGCACTCAAATGAAAACATACAAAGCAAATCCCCGGGTTTGGGACCAAGAACACTCACAGCGGGCTTCACTCAACAACAGTGCAATCAGTGTGATACTTCTGCTAAAAGGCAACACAGGCCCTTTTGGCTTATTGACCAATAGATCTGTTTGACGCTTTTCACATTTGAGATACGGTTTGTGGAACCACTCGCTCAGCCCAGGGAGGATCTGCAGCTGCTTGCAGTCCAACTTTCCAATTACGGGGGTTAGACCTATTACCTAACTCCCCAGCCATCTTCCACGCAGGGCACAGAGGGTTTGAGCATGCATTTGTCAGGCTGGGTGAATCAGTGGTGTCACTCCCACAACGGTCATGGGAATGGAGAGGAAACTGCCTCTCAGGGACACAGGATTTAGGCAGAGGCAGCTCCAGCTCCCACATGGACCCTAGACAACGGAAGATGCTCCTCTGTGGCTGAGCAGAGACAGCGCCCTGCCCACTGCTGCCAGCCCAGTCCTCTCCTTCCAGTTCCTGACCACTCTTTGCTTTTGTTCTTCTCCACACCCACCCTTAAGAAGTGAGTAGTACTGGGAGAACTACCTTCTCTCAAAACAGTCATTTTTTTTTTTTTATCAGTGGCATTTGTATTTTGACATTACTGCTTCATAACACCTAACATAACTTCTTTCATGGATTTGAGCTTTTTGAAACACAAAAACTGGACACTATTACTGCTTTCTACTTGCTAATGCTCTTCCCCTGAAGCAATGAATCACAGGGATTACCATTTTAAATACAGGTGGGGACATGGGGAGAGCTGGAGGGTAGGGAGGATAGAAATATTGGGAGGAAAAGATTCCATTAAGATCCTACTCAGTGATTAAAAAAAAAAAGATAAACACTTGACTTTTAGGACAACATGGGAGGAACTCGAGGGGATTATGCTAAATGTCAGAAGGAGAAAGACAATTACTGGATGGTGTCACTTACATATGGGCTATAGGGAAACCAAACAAAGGGTCAGATAAAACCAAACCAACAGTAAATCCTAGAAATCTGACTGTGGAATTGAGACTACAAGATGGGAAGGGAGAGAGAGGAAAATAAAGAGGGGAGGTGGTACAGTGGACTATGGTGGAGGACCAGGTGCCCTGGTGGTGGTGTGTGTGGTTGGTGACACACAACTGAAGGTGTGATCCCATGTGTCTGAGCGTATGTGATGTTACCTCAATTTCTTTTTTTTTTTTTTTTAAGATTTATTTATTTATACAAGCACTGGGTACAGTCAGAAGCACAGGAGGGTGAGAGAATTCACCAGAGCCAGAGCAGGGAGCAGAGCAGGCAAAAGGACCGAAGTACACTGCTGAGGGGAGCAGCGGGCGGCAGAAGAGGTCTGCAGGCCATGCGGGACCCTCGCCCGGTGGCCCAGGAGCAGCCGGGGAGCAGCCGGGGATCGAACCGGTGCCACAGAGGCTTCGGGCAGCTTCGTAACCCAGCACTCAACCGCGGCGCCACCGGGGAGGCCCGATGTTACCTCAATTTCAAAAAAGAAAATGTTGGAATGAACAAGATTCAAGATGTTCAGAAGATGTACATAATTTATCTGGGCTTTGCTAGAAAAACAAAACCTGGGTAACCAGAGAAATACCCCATGACTGGCCACTTTAAGGATTTCACTGAGGCAGCAGGAGTGCAATGCAGACAGGTAGCCCTGGGTGGGGGTAGGGGGGTGTTGGGTTTCACTGCTCCAGAAAAGAACACCATACTCCATCCTGAGCTTTTTAAATGCCAACATGGAGTTTTACCCTCTATGACAAACAAGTAAAAAAAACCCTAAGACATAAACAACAACAGCAAAAAGTATTGTTCTAGGTGCTTGCTTGTTGCAGTAAACAAGTGCCTTCGAAGGAAAGACTGCCTAAAAAATTCAGTCTTTAGGATGCCATTGACACAGTTGCTAATGCCTGGAATGATGTTGATAATAAATATTAACAATGCTTGGCATTGATAATAATTTACAACCACATACCAACCACAAGAAAACATCAAACTCAAACTGAGAGACATTTATGAAATATCTGAGCAGAACTCCTCAAAGGCTCATGGTCACGAAATAGTACATTATTTCAAAATTAAAAGTTTATTTTAAAAAATAAAAAAAGAACATGTAAAAACATTAAGATGGACAAATGTATAAAGTATTTACTTACTCATTTAAAATTATAATAAACCCATTACATATTAATATGAATTACATATTTTTTTATTTAAAATGACCATATTTTCTAAAACAACAAGAAAGATTCATTGAGAAGAATAGCATTGTTGAAATTTTATAAATCTTTTTAATGTCTGGCTTAGTAGAAGGCAGCTGGATGCTCATATCTGCTTTTGCATTCAGCATGTGGAGACAGCACTAGTCATGTAGCTGCTGGAAAACCTCCCTGTATACTCATGAGTGAATGAGCGTGAAAGAGACAAACAGTATCCTATATTATGATAAAATTACCTTTATCTGAAGAACCACCAGAAGGACTGCACTTTGAGAACTGCTTCTTCTAAGCATGAGGTACAATCAGAGGGTGCTTGTGTGCTGGCCGGGAGGAGA